CCCTGAGTCAACAAATGGGGTCATTTGCAAGACAATAAGTGTTTGCACGAACAGTTCGGCGACGTTTGCAGCAGCATGGGCTGTCAGCACGGCAACCATGGCTTCGGCTACCCTTGACGCTGCATCACAGGCTGTGACGCCTCCAGCAGCCATTACATTTCTGATGTGCTAGGGCCACTTTCTCTGCCTTATCTTCGAGTATATATATATGAAAGGGAAATTTGTTTATTTTGCTGACAAATGGAGAGTGCAAAATTACTAAAAATATGCTGGCATAATATATGAATAACCGCTTTTGAGCCAGAATCTCACCGACGGTATCTTTAGAACATTTTAGAAATAAATTTAGAAAAATAAATTTCATCCCTATTGAATTTGCTTACTTGATTAACAAATTTATTTTAATAATTCATTTTTTCAGATCCCCCAAGAATACTTTTGGAAGATGTTGTTCAAGTATGTTGTGACAAACCTTGTCCAATGAGCCTTTTTGTCAAACTTTGTTACTAAAATATTGGTAAGTATAGTCACAAGAAATTCGTTCAAGAATTTAATATTCTGTCTGTAATATATTATTTTACTGCCAATATGCCTTCCAATTTAAATTCTTCTTTTTCTTAAAAAAAAAATTTTTTTACGATTACAGAATTTTTTTAAGACTATAGAAGACTTTTTTACGAAAGCTACTGAAGACATTTTTACGAAAACTATTGAAGAATTTTTTACGAAAATCATAGAACAGCTACAGTTTTTTTTTAAAAAAAAAATCAACAACTATGGAAGCTATTCTGTAAAGACACATACTTAGAATCTTTATGGGAAATGAAAATAAAAAGTACACATAAGGGCAAATAGAGAGGCATTAAATAGAGAGGCATATAGCAAATAGAGAGGGGGAAAATGCTAAAAAATCTGGCAAATCACAGTATGAAGAAGCATAAAAACTTGTTTGGTCGAAACTTGAAATAATATAGTCCTTCAACTCCTCTGTCGCAACCAAATCAGTCTTGCTGTTTATTACATACGCATTCTTGTGTCATGAATTGTCAGATTTCAATAACGTTTATGTTTTTTTACTGCTTAAATACAAATTTGCAGCCCCCAATATGCTTACATTTTATTTTCAATCTTTATAAGCATTCTAAAAATATATACAAAAAGCAGTCTTTATAGAGCATACTGTATACAAACACGATCTCGTTAAAAACAAAGTTAACATAGTTGCCTTGCTAAATCAACTTAAATTTACTTCAAAAGTTTAAAGAAGTTGAAGAATCGTTTGATGTTAAAGCACCCCGAAGCAACAAGTAGAAAAAAAATTGGAATTGAAAGCAACATATTGAAAGTGTGAGACATTCAAAATTATAACAAACATCAGCTCCCATCTTTTGACGTTTAAAAATTGATATAAAATGTGCCAAATTGAAATCATGTCCGTGTGATCAAGAGCTACTAATATCGCCTCATACATGATAACCGTGAAGTAAGAATTGCTTTACCACATATATGTGATCATGGTCCTGAAGAAATTAATTTTTTAAAATATGAAATATTTCCAAGAAATCTAAGTCAGTAGCTGAAGAGCAGTGTTAGTGATTTTCACAGAATAAAACTCAAATCTATAATTAGTACACCAATGCATGGTGTGGAAGATCATTTATCTTGATTTTCAACATGTTATTATATTGTGCTAGTTTTCATGTATTACTAACGTTCACATGGCCTCTTTCGCATCCCCTGTTTCGAACATTGCCACTTCTTATAAATTAGCCAAATATCTAGTTGCCATCTTTGCTTCTCTTTTTATTCATATTTTTAAAATTTAATTTCTCAGGAACTATTCGACTAATTTCATTCAAATTTTGTGGTTTATCATGTAAAATTACATTCCTTAAAATGATGTAAAAATTATATACCTCACAATCAAGAAAAGTTTTACTATTATTAAATACACTACTGGCTATTAAAATTGCTACACCAGGAAGGCGACACACCACAAACGTGAAATTTGCAGGACGAATAAAGCATGTTGTGGTATACAAGGCAGGCACGACACCTAAAATGTGTATAAAAGAAGAGATTTGACAGTAAGTTTCTCATACAGAAATTGAATTTAAGCGTTGTTAGTGGGTAAAAAAGTTTTTGTTACGCCTCGTGTAAGAAGGAGAAATGTTTACCAGCACGTGTCTGAGTTTGATAGAGGTCGAATTGTGGAATACCGGGACTGCGGTTTATCATACCAAAGTATTGCAGCTCGCGTTGATCGAGATCCCATGACTGTTAGCAGAATATGGAATCGATGGGTTCATGACAGTCATATGGAAAGCCGTGCAGGATCTAAGCGGCACCCCATCACTGACAGCCGAGAAGAAAGACATGTTATCCACATGGCCTTAAAGGATCGTACAGTTACATCACGAACCCTGAGTCAACAAATGGGGTCATTTGCAAGACAATAAGTGTTTGCACGAACAGTTCGGCGACGTTTGCAGCAGCATGGGCTGTCAGCACGGCAACCATGGCTTCGGCTACCCTTGACGCTGCATCACAGGCTGTGACGCCTCCAGCAGCCATTACATTTCTGATGTGCTAGGGCCACTTTCTCTGCCTTATCTTCGAGGCCTCCATAACGCTACGTTTCAGCTGGGAAATGCACGACCGCATGTCGTCCGCACTGTCCTGACCTTCCTTGAAACAGAATATGTTCGTCTGTTGTCCTGGCCAGAACGTCCTCCTGATCTCTCACCAATTGAAAACGTCTGGTCAATGGTTGCCGAACGACTGGCAAACTGTTGTTATTCCTGACAGGGGTGGCTGCTCTTAGTACTGATTCCTCAGGATCTATACATCCAAATATCCTGAAAATGTAAGTACTTGTTCTTCCAACTATTATGTATGTGCCCAATAAATATCATTCTGTTATTTGCATTCCTTCCTGGTGCAGCAATTTTAATGACCAGTAGTGTACAATAATAAATATTTACCAGAAGCTATTTTTTGTATAGAATTATTTTTAGATAAACGAATTTTGTACTTGTGTACGGAAGTGCATCAAATCACTTAAAAAAGTTCTCGTGTTACGATGGAATATGGAAAAAGTAAAAATAACATTAAAGGGGCCAAACTTTGAACCGCTCTGCGGACCAAACTGTTGGAACCATATCTTCTAGATTGTAGCTACCCCCTATATTTTAAGAGCCGGAAATCTGAATCCGAAAAAAACATATGTTTATTTAGAGAAAGTACGTTTTTGTGTTTGATTTCGTAACTTAAATTTTCGTCTGTGCTGATTAATTAGCATCTTTGAGACTGAGATCCCCTCATTGAACCATTAAAATTGAGTCATAGAACGTGAAGATTCGATCATTTGATCAAAAATTATTCAAAGTAGTAATTTTTTTTCGTGCATTGTACTTTTTTTAAAACAGCTTCCATTTCTTCTATATTTCCTTCTTGTGTTATTTTTGAGTTACTCAAACTTTAATGAAAATTACATTTAAATTTTTAACAGTCTGTTTTAATACAATCATATGCAATATGAAATTTCAGAAAAGATTTCAAATTGAAATTCTTATTTAATTACAAAATAATTTTTAATAATTTAAGGACATTAGTTTGCTGTATTTAAAGGTATTTTTCGGAGATCTTTTAGATCATCAAATTCTGTGTTCTGGTTATCAAAAAATAAGAGCTGAAGATCAAAATATCAATAATCTGTTTCTTTGAACAAAAACTTTTGAAGATTGTCACTCTGTTTATCATATAAAATGCAATCTTTTATTTTAGGTTAAGAAGAGCTTGTATGAGCTTAAGTGAAATGACAGTAAATCTCATATTGTACAAAGCAAGTTTTCTCTTCATAAAGGAAAAAACTGATATTCATCAAGTTTGTTAAATTGTTTTGTTTTCATGACATGTTCGAAATAATTATTTTGTAACTTTAAATAAACCATAGAGTGTGAAATCAGTTTTATCATGAGTTTTCTATTTAACTGCTTCCCTGTTTATACCAAAACATCTCAGATTCGTATACATTGGAATTAATTAGCATCACTCATGGTGCTCTAAAGATTTCTTAACTAGGTGTTTCCACCATCTCTGCTCATGACTCCTTTGCAATTTCTAGGGTTCCTTCCATAAAAGTCAACATTTTCATCGTTGGTGCCTAGTGTGTTTCAAAAAAACAAAATGGGACAGGTCCAAATATTGGACCTGTTTCATTTTTTTGCTTAACAAGTCAAAGTCCAAGTCTTCATTAACTGTTTTCTGTTTTTCGACCAATTCTCATTACCGTTCAGTCATTTTTCAAGAAAGATTTTGTGTGAGTTAGGTGCCCGCATTCGGTCTTGACTGGTTCCATTATATCCACCAGGCATCTGGACCAAGTTTCAGACACTTGGCAGAACTACTCTCCTAAATTCAAAGAAAAGGTGAACTTTCTAACCTTAGAAGCCATTTTAAGACCAGTTAATCACATGATTCATCTATTTAAATTCTTTTTCAGCCATCTCAGTCCAAAGGACCTGCAATCCTCCAACCCAGGTGTCCTGAATGTATTGATTTAACAATTTTGTTTGAATAAATTCCTTGATGCTATCATGCTTCAATATTTTCAGTCAATGGCAAATTAACCAGCATCCTCAAAAAACTAAAGAGCTGGTAGTAAAATTTCTTTTCGGATATTTGAAACTCACTGCAATATCTTTCCAATTTTATATTCTGAGAACAGAAATCTCACACAAAGATTCGCTAACAAAATAAATTTTTTTAAAAGTAAAAAAGAGAGTTTTCGAATAATCTTTTAGAAATTTTGTTACCAGTTTTTTTTAATTTTTAAAGAACGCTGGTTACCTCAATCAATGATATCCCAAAATTAATGTCGATGATGTCCGAGTCAAATAGTTCTCAAGCATTCACAACCGCAAAATTATGATAGCTCGATTCTGGCTGAATGTTCTGAACAGTAAGATAACGTCGTTAATCAACATTTTGGCTTTCGAAGCAGCTCGTCAATCTGCCACTCTGTAGCTCTTTATATGCCCGCTGAGTCATAGCCACCGAGTGTCAAAGCCTCTCAGTAGGTTTGTGACGTCATCCTCGGAAGTGTTAGCAAACCATAAGCGAAAGCGGTATTCAGATTTGTATTAAGAGAAAGCCATAATAAATAGTTTAAATAGTAAATAATAATAATAGCAATTAAGAATTTATAAGTGGTGAATTCTTAGTTTTTTAGAAGAATAAATCAATGTTATTTATCACGTTATAACTCAATAAAATGAAGGACTGTTTGATGCTCTTCATAAAACAACATTGTAAGTATTTCGTAATAGAAAATTATTTAATAAGAATTTTTTTTCTTTTAATTTAAATCATGATTCATAATAACTATTTTTTATATCAAAAGAATAAACCTCATTTAAGAGTATTATTCATTATTTTCTAATATGCAATCAAATATTAGATTTAATGATACATTTGAAAATAAGGAATGATACATTTTAATACGAAAACGAAGACAAGACAAATTAAAATATGTTATATCATGGCAGAAAAGAGGCAAATAAAGAAATTATAATTTTGTTATCCTTAAGATTGTAAAAAATCTAAATTTATTTTTATTTTTATTTTAAATGTTCGAAAGTAATAAAAAAATAATAACATAACAATTTAAAAAATTTTTTTGCCAGATTTGTACGAAAAGATATTACAAGGAGGAAATATTAATTGGATAATTTTATGGAAAAATGACATATTCCAAGAACATCGAGAAGGTTCATTAATATAAACGAACTACATTGAATATTAATAAAAAAGTTCTCTCTTTAATATTTTCTAAATGTGTGTGTGTGCGTGCGTGCGTGTGTGTGTGTGTGTAGAACAAACAGGCACAGGATTTTAAAAAGAGCAAAATGATTTTATTTATTCATTATGTGATGATAAAATGAGAGAGAGTGACACTAAATCGTCGTGCAGTTACATAAATGTTAGGAAAAATCCTGCCTACTTTTTAATTTAAATCTACTTTTAAATATTTAATCAGGCCTACTTTTTAATTTTAAAAGTTTCTTAAATAGTTTTTCTGACTCTTTGTCAGCTAAGTTCAAAGTTTATATTTCTTGATAACAGTTTTTATCAATAAATATTGTTCTTCCTCCATACAACTCTAATTTAAAATTGTAAACTTCCACATATTTTTAAAAATGTAAATATTCAAAAACATGACACATAAAAATATGAAAATACAAGTTGACATTTTGTTAAAGGAAAAGTTTCAATCTGAAGTTTGACTTCAGTATTGTATATTTTGCTTGAAATAATTTTTTTTTTAAAAATTGACACAGTGGTCGTTATTCTGTTTAAGACTTCAGTATATATATGTATTTTAATGAAAAAATGACACTAGTAAGTCTGATGTTAATCTTACTTTTTGAGGTTCTCCCTAGATCATATTTATCTTTAGTAAAAATATCTGAAAAATCTTCNCTAATAGACAATTCTTAAGAAAAAACACGAAAAGAAATTTGTAACATTTAGGGGCCCCCTAGGCCAGCGGATTAAGCGTACACGGGGTCCTTAGATTAAATTTTTTTCTCGTATATTTTTTATTTATTCAAACATAAAAGTATTTATACATCTTTTCATTTAAGGAAGCATATTTAAAATTAAAATAAATAATAATAAATTAAATTTTACTTTATTTTATTAAATTAGAACTAAAAAATAATCATAACATTTTGAAAAATCATTGTTTTTCTTTATTTATTTTCAAAAAATTCATTTTACGGGGGCCCCTTATCATTAGGGGCCCCAGGCCATGGCCTAGTCTGGCCTAATTTGTAATCCGGCCCTGATTCCGTCAACGTGATTTTGACAATGTTGCACATCATCATCACATTTAGTCTCAAGAATGTTTGAAAATTCAAGATTATTTTCAGTTTTGCTTTTTAAGTCTTTATTTTTAAGTCTATTTTTTGTTTTATTTTTCTTTAAATTCACTTTGTTTACATTTTTATTTTTGCTTATTCTCATGCCCAAAATTTTCTCTTTTATTTAACATTTTCATTATTTTGCTTTTCGTTGATTTGCCATTTTTTTTTTTAATTTTTTTTTCTTCTTTTCTTTCTACTTTCTTTATTGGTACTTTTATCGCAAACTTTAACCAGGGTTTTAGGAAAAATGTGTAAGGATAACTTGCTTTTATAAACAGAAAAGTTGATCAGTCTTCTCAGATTTTGTATTATAACCCGTTTAATACAATCAATCACCAAATGAAATTTAATGCATTCCTTTAAATCCAATATGGCATAATGTAGATCAGTATTTAAAATAATATAAAATTTCGCTGGCCTAGCTACATTTAAAATTTTTAAATTTTAAGTGCAAGCTTGGTTAAGTTGCAAATTGCCTTTTGTTTGTTTTACATAAACAAAGTTTTTTCTTTCTTTTTGGACATTTAGTTTTTCAAAAAGTTTAGTTGGGATAATATTTAAAGTACTACCTGTGTCATTATTTAGCAAGATAGTTTTATTAGTCACAATCGGGTATTTGTCACTTTTATTGTTTTCATGTTTATTTTGCATGCATCTGGATACTATTAATTGTCAATTTTGTAGTTGGACACTTTCTTGTTTAGGCTGAGTTTGATTCTCAGCCATAAAAGAATTAGGTTTGTTTATACAATTTTGGCCCCAATCATAAGCGCTAGTTATTCCAAGCTCATCGCACTATTTACATGGCTTAAGAGGTAACTCCTTTGAAGCCTGGGTGAAATGACTTGTTTGTTGTTTATTTCTATGAAATCTGTCACTTTCTTTTTGAACTCTAGGTCAAAATTGGGATTGTTGGTTGAAATTTTGACTTGGCGTGAAAATTTTTGATTTTGTCCCTGATTCAGCTGGGTGCAAATTTATGCTAGTTTTTTCGGCTCGCTACGTGCAATCATACAGTGACGATACAAGTGCGCAAAAAATAAATACAAGAAACACTCCGAATGACTTTTAAACTAATTCACATACTAAAACTCAACCTTAACTGTTTGAGAGGGTGATCTCAAATATAGTAATTAGTTAGTGTAGACAATATTTTAAGTTACAAAATCAGTCACAAAAATGTATTCTTTTTGACGTATTATGATTCCTGACTCTCAATATTTGGGAAATAGTTTCAATCTGGAAAATATGGACTGAAAAGATTGGTCAGGATAGAGATCGAAAACCTTTTAATGTTAATTTTACTGCTTTCGTATTTCGTCACATCTCGAGAAATTTTTAAGATAATTGAAAAATGTTTGCACACAATTATAAAATTCATTTATATTCATAATTTATAAAATTATAAATAATTTTTAAAAATTATTTATAAATTTCGCTATTTTATTTATAATAGTTGAAAAAATTTTGAATTGCTAGGTACAAACTTTTTAAATCATTTTAAAGAATATAGTTTCATATGGCAAAATATGAAATTTGAACAAATTCGGTCGAGTAGTTACTGAGAAATCAATTTTTTTAAAAAAAGAATTTGATTTCTCATGAACTTTTTGACGGATATCATTCAAATTTTGTATTTTTTACCACATAAATACTGCATAATTTTGTATACTTTACAAATCAAAGTATTTTCGACTATTATTTAATAAAATATTGAATAATAATAAATAATTATTAAATTTTTTTTTTCATGGAATTATCTGTGGATAAAATAATTTCATAATTGTATGTAAGAAATTTTTAATTCACTTAAAAAATTCATGAGATACAATGAAAATCGTGAAAAGTAATATAATAAATAATAAAAGTAATATAATTACCTAGGTAGCAAAAAGATATGATCTAATATTAGAAAGATGTAATATAATACTGCCGTGCTAGAAAACGAAAGACTCTTGAATCCTATCTTCTAATATTAGAACTAATATTACACATAAATAGTATTCGATCTAACATTCGAACTTTCAAAATTATCATCTATTTCATTACTTTAGGTCTAGAGCCACATTTTTGCGGAATGGTATCCCATATTATTAATAAATAAACATTTATTTATGAAAGAAAACAATAAATTAAATATTACTTAAAATATCATTTTTAGCCAATGCAATTTTATGCCAGAAAACACGAGATAATATTAGCAGAAGTAAACTGAGTTCGTTTCATGTTTTCAACTTGATGCTCCTAATATCATTCAATATCATGTTTTACAAACTAACAAATTCAATTAATTTTTGATAAGAAAGGCTCATTACTAAGAAAAATTAAGAATACATTTTTAAATTAATATCTTAAAATTATTAATGATATAAAATTCATCAGAAAACCCATTGAATGAAGAAAAGAAAAAAAAATAGCAATAAAAGTTGCAATATAGTATTATTTCTTAACTAAATTTGAAATATTCCAAAAAATCAGCTGAACATAAGATATACTTTATAGTAAGAAGGAGGATGGTTAGCAGAATTCGCTAATATAATTTTATTTAGTATTTCTGTATTGCTAAGTAAATAATGCATGGAATGACATTATAAAACTGTTGTTCTATGCCTTACTGCTTCACAGCAATACAGAAAATTAAGTAAAATTATATCCCCGAATTATTCTACTACCATCCATATCTTCCTCCTGCTTACTCCAAAAAATAAAAAGCAACGCGAGATAATATCAAAAATATATAATCTAATATTATATAGCATCAAAACGAATGCAAAATAATATTATGGCGAACGCTAGATGATATTAGTTTGCATAAAATTTAATATTATATAATGCAGAACAAACAGCGACCTCTTGTATCTTTCTAATATTAGAAGTTGTGCAAGATAACGTTAGATTTTACCGATTTTCTGATGTTATCTAATATTAGGTGCTACTTGGGTAAGGGAGCCAAACTTTCTACCGCTCTCCTGACCAAACAATGGAACCATATTTTCCAGATTGCGACTGTCCCTCATATTTTGGGGGTCAAAGAAATTAGGATTTGTGCCTAATTTCCTAACTTAAAATATTGTCTGCACTAACAAATAACCATTTGTAAGGTCACTTCCTCGAACCATTAAGTTTGAGTCCCAGTACATGAAAATCCAATCATTAGATCAAAAGTTATTCAGGGTGTTTATTTTTTGCTCTCTGTACACCATGCTATTTAAAGATTATTTGATCTTTACAGTTTGCCCTTATCGCCTTCAATATTCGTTAATTCTTCGTATAGTGTGAATATTTAAAGCTATAACAGGATGTAAAGAAGAGGAAATCAAACATGCATTTAAAGGAAACACGTATTTACTAGGTGTAACCGCCTTCAAACAAAATAGAGTAAGTTAAAAAGAGGAGCCAAAATAAAGTCATTACTAAAAACAACCAATATATTCGTTTATATTTGGCTTGAGATATGTGGTGGTTTTAAGACATTTTCAAACTCCTGGAGAATATCAGCATGAATATCATCCCAGGTTTCATTAATGGCAATTCTGCCAAATACTGGCCACAGTTTGGTTCATACAGCCCGGTAGAAGATAGGCCAATGAGGACTTGTTCCCTATTATGCCAAAAACCACTACTATGAAAATTTTGTTACGTAAATGGAGGTGTTACCCTGCTGGAAAATCTGATTTGGGCTACCAATTCTCAGCCCAAATAAAAATAAGTGCTTTCTTGATAGTGGGTAGATTCCATGGGATGATAGGCTAGATTAAGTTTATCACCATAAGTGAATTCTTTCCTCGCAATTTAGGAGCATCAATTTTTTTAAAAATATATAATGGAGAAAAAATCCTTTTCATTCCATTGCAAAAGCCCATAAAGCTGCCATTTTTTTTTCTTATCTCTTGTGAATAACGTGGACTAATGATTAATACTTTTCGACTGGACATGGAATATATTTTTTTAAAACAACAGTTGACTAGAAATAAAAAGATCTCTGCATAGATGATAGTCACTAATGGTGTGGTAAGGCGTTAAACTTAGTGTGACATTTTTTCCAGCCTACATGAGGGCTATCATAAAATGGTAGAAACTCATTTACTGTCATTTGCAAAGGTTTGCGGATCAAGTTGAATTTTTCAGCAAGACAGCGCCTACATCCATAGTGCAAATTCTTCAATGGTATAGTATTTTGATTATAGGTTTCCTTCCATGGAAAAGTCGGCCTTTTCTTGAGGCCTCAATTGCCAATAAAATGTGAGAAGGTAATCTTAGTATGACTGTATATACAAAAAATTAGCAGTTTTAATCAGCAACAGAATTGTAAACAGCAGCATTGTAACCTGGCATTATATATGGGTGCTAATATCTTCCAGAGATTGGTAAATGGTATGCAACATCGCTTATTTCAAGTCATATATAAATATGGTGGATAATTTGGCTTTATTTCAGTGGAACACTTATTTTCTCCTTTTTTACTCAATTCGATTTTTTTTTCCTCAACAGAATGAGCAGGAAGTGAGTTATTCCTAATAAACATGTATTTACAAGTGGACTTTTTTTACTTGCTACATGTTTTTATTGGTTTTCTTTGTTTCCTAATAGAAAATCAAATGTCTTAACATAAGTCAAAAACCAAATATATTTTATTCAAATATATTTTGTGTGGAACGAAAAGTATATTAATTATAGACACGCTAATAAACTTTTGACCAGAAAATTAAAAAAAAATTCAGGGATTCGTCTAGTCTGTTCGTATTTAATTTCGTTGTTGTGAGAAAACGTCAATGAAAAACTCTGGGCATCATTATCAAATGGGTCTGGTTCTGGTTCATTTAATCGACAATCACTTCATCGACAGGCCATTTCATCGATCCCTCTTGATCGACAGACCATTTAATCGATTAGGTCATTTCGTCGACAGGGTCATTTCGTTGATAGTGTCAAGCGTAATTCTGAAACTATTTTAGAGATTTAGTCTAAATATTTTTATTATTAATTAGAAAAATGCTATTATTTAATTTTTATACTAAGGTAAAATTCTTTATTGCTGTGTATTGCTCCAACTGCACTAAAAGAAGTTCGCCTTTTAAATAAATTGATAGGTAGTTGAGAAGCGCTTAATCGAGAACGGTTGATGTATCAAAATCTACTTTTCTATATCTAAATCGTAATAGCTCGACACTTGTTTTCAGGATAAAGGATTGTCTTCAGAACATTACCAAGCATGATATCCGGACCGTAGTCATATCGATATTTTTTTTAAGGAGAAAATATATAAATGTTGAAATTTTATGTAAGAAAATTTTGTTAATACTATGTCAATAGTAACAAAACTAATGATTACTTGCATATGAAAGAAAATCAACTGAGCTTGTAAAAATAAATATATAAGCACAGGGAATATATAAATTTTTGATAAAACAAGAAGTAATTTTACTAGTTAACTATCTAAAAGATTTGTGTTTTTCTGATTAATTTCTTTGTAATCACCACCATTGTTATCATTGTAAAAGTTTGTTCCTTTTCTTTTTTTTTTCTGACAAGATTTTAAACTGTATTAATGCGTATTACTCATTGTGGGGGAACATTATATTAAGTATAATTTTTTTTTTTTATCGACAGAGATTTTTTGCAACTGAAATGGTCTGTTAACGAAAAGACCTTGTCAATGAAATGGCCTATCGACCACGTGGTTTCATTATCTCACAGATTCGTTATATACTGTCTTCATTCACTCCCTACATCAAGAATCATTCACAATATTTATTGCAATTGCTTTTGCGATGCTAATCTAAAATAACGTACATTAAAAATTTATCTTAGAAATTAATGTGTTAAATATGACTAGAAAAAAATTGTGTAATATACAACTTCAATGTGTAAAATACAATTAGAACACCAAATGTAAAAAATTTTTCGTTTTTGCAACGTGATGTGAATAGAGGAGAAGGCAATTTTCAAATAAAATGCTTCTCTTCTGGCAATTTCAACATACTATAAATATTTCGCATAAAAAAAAAATCTATGCATAGTTTTTTCATTTGAGTTTCAACTTTTTTTAAATACTTTCATACTTACAAACTTTAAAAATAACAGAACTGAATAATTTGAAAAATTTTGCAGACGTGTTACCTTTTAAGTATTAATGTATTCTTAAACTGTCTTAGTAATTCCGTAATTCAGTAATCTTATTAATATTTTTTTTTTAAGTGAGAGATTATATGAAGTTGAATATCGAAAACTACCTGATCCAGCCCTATATGTAAGTCTTTGCAATCTTTTAATTATATTTTAATTTTTAATTTTCTTTCGGTTCATGCATTATATTGATTCTGTTCTTTTTTTCCTGCATCTAAAACTTTCTGCATCTAAAACAATCGATTTTCTTATTCGTTTCAGAATTTGTAATCCAGTCTCCTCTCGATGTCATGTGAGCATTGAAACCCGAAAAACATTCAGTCTGCTGGCTTAACTTGTTTTCCATAACTGTGAAATGTCTTTGTTTACTATTTTCTTCTTTGAACTGTTCTTCGTCGGACAATGTGTACTTAGATGTTCGTATTTATTGCAACTATAACCATGGTTTCTTGATTTTTTTTGCACTTGACGGAAATCTGTTCAAATTTTTATAAAAGGTACTTTCAGAATTCTTCGTTGATGTTACAAATAAATCTTTGACATTATCTTGCAACAATATATTTTTCACTAAATCGAAATCGGTAGTTTTATTAGAACCCTGAATGTTTAGAATTAGTGATTTAAATTTTTCGGGCAATCCACCTAATATTAATTCCACCTACAGTATCACGTTTTCTGATACTTTCTAGCTGTTCTGTTATGGATGTGATGTGATCAATATACGATGTCATTGATGAACCATCTTCATATTTAGTTAGATATATCGATGCATATTAGGGCTGTTAACACGGTCCAATTTCTTGAATCCGAGAAATTGGACGGATTTCTCTGTTCAAGAAATTGGATGATTCGTTGACACTATCCAAGTTCTTGAATGTCACTGAATCGTTAATACATGATTGTCATGCATCTTCATTGGGTGTTCCGCAAAAACTCTCTTAATATGTATTTTTAGACTCTTTATTAAGAATGAAAAAAAAATTTACACATTGGAAGTTGCAACTTGATATTTAAACGAGGAAAAAACAAAAAACGGTATCAATTACAGTAGAAGATAGATGTAATAACAGTTAAAACAGGTTTAATTAGCGTTTGAAATTTATAGGTGTTTTCAATAGATGTCTTTCAACTCTCAGTTTCCTCCCTTAATCAAGCCTGTTTCGTTGGCATTCTGGTTCCATGATTTGTCAGATTTTGAGAACTTTTTTTTTCTCCGTTAAGTATTAATTTGTAATCCTCAGTGTGTATATTTATTTTCATCATTGATAAGGATTCTAAAAATACAAAAATAAAAAGGGTAGTTTTTACGAAATACCTTGCAAATAGGTTTACTTTATTTATGGGATGGCCAAAATCATTTTAACTTAAATTCATAGATTTAAGTATTAAATAAAAAATTATGATTTTTTTCCAATTTAAATATAAAAGCAAAACATTTACAAAATTAAATTAAATCAATTAATTGAAAGAATTAACATATAATAATCCTTAATGGAATAATATTACGTACTACGTTTCATTTTTGATAGTTCGATAGTGACAAGTTAAACATGCTAAATAAAATTAGGTACATAGGCAATGGAGTGGAAGGATCTTTTAGGATGTATAATGAACTGTATAACCTAAAACTAAAAAAACTGCTAATAAACTTTCTAAACGGAAATTTGAAAACTCAAGGCTTTGCGTCTCCAATTTGATATTGTGAGAACAAAAATCGTTCGGAGAGATTCTCTGATAAAAATAATTTTGTTTCAATAATTGGAAAGATAAAGAGGTGAGTTTTCAAATCTTTTTTCCCCCTCTTTTTTTCGAAATTTTGCTACCAGTTTTCTGAGGGCGCTGGTCCTCTTACAACGATTCTTATAGTCAAGCTTAATTCATGGTGCATTATAGGGAAAGCTATGATTTTGTTTGTTTAATGTTATGCAGACATATGTAGAAGTATGTGCTCAATTCGAAAAATGACTGATATAAACCTTTTCCAAATTGAAGAGCAGTTAACACAAATTAAAGAACAGCACAAAGATACATACAAGACTACAGAGGGATACAAACCCACTGCTTCTACACCAGGCCAGAAAGCGAGACGGAAAAGAGAAAAAACTGGTAGTAAAACTATTTCAATAATAGATAATTTACGTTAGGAATAAATCTATTCTTAACACTAAATAGTCCCGCAGTGGACTGATCGTTAAGACACGGTTCTCATCAGATCACCGAAGTCAAGCATCACTGGCTGCGGTCAGTGTGCGGGTGGGTGACCCACTTGGATCAGTCTGCGTAGGGACCGAGGGTGTGCGGTATTGGTCCTCGTTAAACTGTGCTACCGTAAAGTGCTCGACTTCGCGCGCAGGTCGTTGGGCTACCGAAGCGGGGGTGCCATCCCCTCTGCAGAGGATCAAAATTGTGATGGCATGTCTTCGGATCATCCTCAGGGATGTTTCCCAGACCGTCGCCAATAGCCCATTGTGCAGCTCTAGTGCGACGTAAATCAACAACAACAACAACAACAACTTAACACTAAATAATTCATTTCTTTAATTTTTTTTCTCGGTAATGAAGCAATTCAATATAGAAATTGTATCCGTTAAAAAATTTTGGTAGGTATAGGTATTTTATTATTCCCGAAAAAAAGCTAATAATGAAATTTATTTTTTACCAGTTTTTATTCTTTTCCTTCTTGATATATAGACTTTCAGCCCTGTTCTATTTAGAGCGTTAAACGAATAACTCTCCTCGGCTACGGAGGACGTATAAATGATGATTAAATACTATATTTCGTTCCAGAGTAAGTGCTATACAGATCGATTATTCTTTTCGAAAGCTTAAAATGAAACGTCAAATTTACCAGCCAAAGTATAATGTAAGTATAAAGATTTTTAAAAAAATATATACTATTGAAAATTTATTCCTAAACAAATTCAATCAGCTATGTAAATAAAGAAAACTTACGCTTTGTCATTTTTAATGTCTCTAAAATTGTTATTATTTTTTTTCCCAATGCCCCCACCTGGATAATGACCTAGATCATACAGGCACCTGAAGGGCAGATTTGTTCGCCACTCTCTCAGGGGCACCATATTAGATGGGTCAACGTTGCTCCCACAGTAAGGACAGATAGTACAGAGAAGGAAAGAATATTCATGCCTTGCCCGGGATTCGAACCCAGAACCTTTCTGATGCAAAGGCAGTTCCCTAACCCCTACACAAGCCGGCCGGCGTCTTCAAAATTATGGTTTTAAACGTTTGTTTGAAAAATTTTGTTATGTTGCACGACCCTTTCCGAAGAATTGCTAAAAACTATTTTCTATTTCATCATCTTTTTTTGCACATTCTGAAATCTTATTGTTTGTTAAATAATGTGATTTCTGAATTGTAAACTTTTGGAGGTTTTACAGTGTATCACGCAGCACATACAAATTCGCATATTTCAGCCTGACCTTCTGGTTAACCACAATTTTTTTAACCTCTTGCTGTTCTTCTTAACCTATTTATTTTTACGATATTTAATAAAATACAAATATTTACTAATAACTTGAAATTATTTGTAAGAATCACAAATTATAAATTTAGTGCTGTGAAAATCAACATTTTTTTTAAAAAAATTGGAGAATATTAATTCAAGTTGACAATAAAAGCTTCATTTTAAACACCTATTCGACACAAGATAGTTTTAGTATAAATAAAAAAGTCGATATTTATAAAATTTTTAGATGGTGTTTGAATTATTACATTAATCGTGAATAACAATGGAGGACAATTTTTTCGTTTTCTGTTGCATGAGATTTTTTTTAACAGATATTAAATACCTTCATATCGCTGATTTCAAATATTCAATCGGTTTCTCTCTCGAATCTAGTTTTTTAAATTACATTTTTAGTCTATTTTTTGTCAAAGATACAAGTTTTAAAAACGTTATATATACGCCACTAGGGGCACTTTCCTATTATGAACTGTTTCTTCGTTTGCTTCCGAACATTTCATAAAATGTAAGCGTCCCTAGTCGCGTATGACATTCCGTTCCTACGCTATTTTAATCTTGATGATGCACCCTAACTCCCTTAGAAGTTTGTCACAACTTTTACGCTACCTTGAGTTGTAAAGTCAGTGTTTGCCTAAATGCAGCTACTTTAAATCCAAATTCAAGAATCATCCGTAAATGCGATAGAAGGAAAATTTCGTATCGCTGGAGCATATACCGATTAATTTCCACACATTTAAAAGCTTTTTTAACGGGTGATTTCTCGTTGCAATTTCGTCACTTATTTTCTAGCTTCCTCAACATGCGACATTTTCCCCTGAAGTCCACAGCACTGCCTTGAGCAATTTTTTAATCTACCACAAGAAAAAACGAGAAATGACCATTTGTATTAGATTTAGAGGAGCTGTAAAATAATTGTCGCATTTAGACTTGATTCTTCGAGGGACAATAATTGCGACATTTAGAAGTCTTAAATTCGACTACAGCCTTTCCAGAGTTAGGTGTCGATTACAGCAATCGTGTTGATGTTATCGTGATTACATGTAATCATGATTGCAAGCTAACAATATATACGATAACAAATAATTACGATTAGCTATTATAGACTAACAATAAATATAATATGCGACTACTGTACGAATTCTAGTACGATAGGACATACAATATATTAAAGTTAAAAAAAACGAGCAAAATATATATATATATATCCCTGAATAACTTTTGCTCTAATGATCGAATTTTCGCGTACTAGATGTTGATCCCAATGATTCCTGGGGGTGACCTAAAATGTGCTAATTATGTAGTGCTAACTATTAATTATGTTAAGAAATAGGACACAAAAACGTACTTTCTCTGAATAAACATATACTTTTTTTGCATGTTTGGATTCTTAATCTTCAAAATATAGGGAGTCCCCATAGTTTGGTCAGGAATGTAATCTTAAGTTCGGACCCCATAATGTTAATTTTCCTTTTTACGTTTTAAGTCACATTATTAAAACTAATAAAGTAATTTAAAAAATTGCACCTACTCATAAAACCAGTTTACCCAAAGATAATTTCATGCAAAAAATAGTTTTTAATAATTATTTAATTCTGGATGAAAAAAAATTTAAATTACCATTGTACCATATTAATCTATGTATTTTTCTATTGCAAATTCTATAAAGTTTCAACAGTTTTTATTTAGCAGAAGCCGAGAAAAAATAAAAGTAATTTTTTTAAAAAAACTAGTTTGGCGACTATGAAGAAATATTTAAATGGGGCGATTAATATTTAAATGTAGATAACTTACGAGAAACTTTGCCTACGCAAGTCTAGCGCAAATTTCATTCATATTTTTTTTTCTCCAATAACCGATTTCTAATCCTTTATTTTTAAATTATAAAATACGTTTCTTTTTAGTCGTTTAAAAATGTATTCGCAATTTAATGAAGAGATTTGAAAAAAACAATTTCTTGAATAAAAAACATTATATTTAACGAATGTAGAGTTTCATAAAATCATGTTTCTGATAGAATGTGATAAATACTTCAGAAAAATACCATTAGACTCCTCGAACCCTAGATATTGCCAAAAACGGTCAAACACATCTGGGGGTTTGAATTTGGAAGTAGCAATATAGTTTGTTTGATTGTAGCAAAAACGCAGACGGGTTTGCAGACTCAACAAAATCTTGAGATATAATAGTTTTGAGAGTTTACCATAGAAAAATAAATCAAGCTTTACTAAATCAGGTGAGGATGAAGGCAATGGTTGTTGTTAATTTACGTCGCACTAGAGCTGCAAAATGGGCTATTGGCGACGGTCTGGGAAACATCCCGGAGGATGATCCGAAGACATGCCATCGCAATTTTTATCCTCTGCGGAAGGGATGGCACCCCCGCTTCGGTAGCCTGACGACCTGCGCGCGAAGTCGAGCACTTTACGGTAGCACAGTTTAACGAGGACCAATACCGCACACCCTCGGTCCCTACGCAGACTGATCCAAGTGGTCACCCACCCGCACACTGACCGCAGCCAGTGATGCTTGACTTCGGTGATCTGCTGGGAACCGTGTCTTAACGATCAGTCCACTGCGGGACTGAAGGCAATGGAACCAGTACATAATGCCAAACTAATCACTAGAACCGACGCCCGGTGGCTGAGCGGTAGCGCTGTCGTGCCACAGGTCCCTGGTTCGATCCTCGGGCTGGGCAAGGTTGACTCAGCCTTTCATCCCTTCAGTGGGTCGATAAATGAGTACCAAGCATGCTTGGGAACTAACACTGGGGATTCCGAGTTCGGCTGACCACCTAACCGGAACATCTGCTTCTGTACCCCAGAGCCCAAGGTCAAGAAAACTGAGATGGGCACAGTAGGCCTTGGCCCTCTATGGGCTGTCGCGCCGCTGAGTTTAGTTTAGTTTTAATCACTAGAACCAGAGGTACTTATGATTAATTCGGCACTTCTGCTAGATGGTGCTCAATTATCGACAGCAGAGGTGCTGATGAATGAACACCATCTGGCAGAAGACTACTTTTTTCGTCTTGTATTTCTATGCCAACTTTATGTGCTCTACCGCTCTTAAAAGTTTCTCGATGCATTTTTTAAACACCCTACATAAAAATTAGTTTGCTAGAGCAATTTTCATACCTTTCCTTCCTGATAAGCAAATCAATGAATCAACGAATTAGTTTATAACTGAATGCGTTTAGCAAAAACATCATCAAATCTATGAATCATTGACTGAATGAGTCAATAGTGAAGTGATAAACGAATGAATCAGTAGTGTAACAAATACATGAATGAGTGAATCAAAAGAAATCGATAACGCAAGTTTATATTTCAAACAAGCCAATTTCTGTTCAACATTTTGTGACTTCATTTTTTAATTAACTGTTTTGATTCGTTAAATTTATCGATTCGCTAAATAATAAAATCTTGGATTCCTTTAGTCATTTATTTATAGATCCGCTAATTTATCCAATATGGAGAATCATGGAATGTGCTTAATTTTTATGAATTTTATGAAATTTAATTAATTTTCATGAATTACCCCAAGTATAGTAAACGAAGTGAAATTATAGTTTAAGGTATCCGACTAAATTTAACGCAATTTTTTTAAAAAAAAGGTTTAGTTAAAATTTCATTTTATGTTTAGAAAGCAGGAGTCTTAAAATTATAAATATGAAGTAAAGTTTTTAAAATTTATTAAATATTTTTTCAAAATAATTTCAATTTGAGCTTAAAAAGTACAAATTTTTCATGTCACGCAAACAGCTCAACGCCAAATTGTAATGCGTAAATTTCAAATAATTTTTTTTCTTGGATCAATAATGCGATTACCTGTGTTTTGAACCAAAATCATAATATATTGCTTAATATTGAATTTTAAAAGAAAAATGTAAATATTCTTATTTAAAGTTCTCTAATATTCTTATATTTAATATTCTCATATTATTATTAATAGTGTTATTAAATATTCTTATTTATTATTCTTATTAAAAATAACAAATTAACATTCAGACATGTTTTTTTTCTTCAAAATATTGCTATCACTATATAAAATTTCGAAGAATTTTTATTTATTAATTTTTTTTTTTGCAATACATGAAAGCATGAAGAAATTTTCTCCAAATCAACGTTCTTTAGAAAATGCATTTAAAATGTAAGAAAATGCCGAGAACAAAAAAAAAATTTTATAATTCGAAACTTAATTTCCGAAAAATGAATTTTAGTTGCTTTAAATATATAATTTATTCAAATAAAAAAAAAAGGTTGGAATACTGAAAGCATAAGAAAAAAAGTTTTTTCAATCTATTTTAGGGAGTTAATTTCGGGTTTCGGAAATACATTCCCGATAACTTAATTTTGAAAAATCAGAGATCAAAAATTTAAGGCTAATTAACTAAAATTAAGTATGGATACTTTAAAAAAAAATCAAAATTTTCATCAAAATTGCCGATTTTTATTCAGTTGGATATCTTAAGAAATCAGACAGTTTATTTTCCTACATTTTAAAACCTGGATAAAGTTTTAAAAACTGAACATTCCTTGATTTTTGAAATGAGTTGGTTTGAAAAATGTGCCAGAAATAATTTGAATGAAAACATTTCACATTTGTCTGACATTGTTTATTGTTTTAAAAATCTAAGATGATGCATTTCTACCCTTGATTTACTATGTTGCATTTTATAGAGCGTTGAACTATTCAGCTACATAGGAGGCTATATGGGGCTGTGGCTTGGCATATGTTTAGTTTCAATTTTTGATTTATGTGAATCATTTGTCAAAGTCTTATACTATTCTTATATGAAGAAAGGCTGAAAAAGATTCAAGACACCTATTAATCGAATGAAATTGGTTTAATTACTGCAGAAACTTATATATTTTAATATATAACCATTTGCTCATATTTTTCTTAACTTTGCATAATGTAATTTTACCATGATAGTGATAAGCTCTGTTTTTTGTCTATTGCTAAATTATTCGAAAACTAATTGTTCAAAATATTTGTTTAAACTTGAATAAATATTGATAAAAAAAAAACATTAATTTTCTGCCTCATATCATAATAAAATTTTGTATAAAAATTAGCAACTTAATTCATGCATCTAAATAAAAGTTTAATAAAAAGTAACTTAAGCTAATGATTTTTCTAGCAACATTAAGTATAAACACTGAATGCAGATAAAATATTCTATAATTTTTTTTTTTCCAATTTGATAACAAAATGTCCCATTTAGCACGATACATAAATTAAATATTTGGAAACATGATCAATTTGTTTTTTATGTATATTGTACTCTATATTTTTGGAATCAATTTACCATTCACGCATTGGTCCCGCAGTGGAATGATCATAAAAACACGGTTCCCAGTAGAACAAAGTCAAGGCTGCGGTCAATAAGCGGATAGCTGATCATCCTGTGAAGGAACACAGGCACGGAATAGCAGAAATAACTCAGGAAGCACGATAACGCATGAAACAGACAATGTAAAACCAGGATTCCACTATCTATGCAAAAGTGCATATAAATTGGAACCTCATACAAAATAAAATCCTGGCGATGGAAGTGGTAGGAAATGTAACTTCAAGCCTGATATTAAAAACATATAAATTTGAATATAAATAAAATATAGCATGTATCTGAAATAAAAAGTACATCTAAAAGAATATAAAAAGTTTAAAGGCACAAGATCTCCTTTTTTTTTTAAAGTTTTATTGTAAAACATAGATATTTTTACACTGTCAAATCATGGTTTTTTCCATGAATAAAGCACTGCCATCTTTTAATTTAAAATAACAGAATAAATTCATTTTTGGTAATTAAATTTTAAAAATCTTGAGTCCCTCAGTTTTTGTTTAAAAAAATTCAATAATGGTTCTTGTAATTCATTCATTTAACAATTTAATCAGAAATTCATTCATACAAATTACTCTGAAATATTTAGGCACAACGATCACAGTGATTATATCTGGACCATGTTCTTTTCTTGGACAGTACATTAGTGATGAAAAAACATTTCACCCAAATTCCTTTGCATCATCTTCTGTTATATCACCATAAACCCATAGATTAGCCTAAAAAATAACGAAAATGATAGAAGCAAATCACAAATTAAAATAATTAGTAAATTGAAGAGCCAAAACATAATGACCACCTATTCAATAATCAGGGTTGCCACTCAAATCTGGAAAAAAATTTCCCAGTATGTATACGCAGTATTATAAGAAACACACGAACAACACTTAGATTAGAAAAAAATTACTTCCCTAGTTTTAACACCTAGTTTCACTTGAGGTGAGTAATAATTCAACATTACTAAAAATAATACAGAAAAGAAACAATTTTTCTTACCCAAAGTTCATCAAGACAGGAATTATATTAACCAATCATGCTCACTTCCAATCACCTAATGCTCTAAATAAATTTCACACAAAATGAAGGTCTCAGGTGGAAAAAAAATAACATTCTTGCTATCTTGAAACAATTTATTGATTAACTTATTAACAAAAACTATTTTCAATTAAAATTAGCAATCCTTTTTTTTGCTCAATTCATGTATTTGAGCATCAATTTCTGCAACTTCCACAGATTTTTCAGATATCAGTTTCATTTTTTTCCTCGGCAACAATTTGATTTGTGTTACTGCCTTCCGCTTGTTGGACTCTTCTTCTTTAGCTCGATGCTTCTCTGCTTTTCTAAAGCTTGTTGGTACCTCCCTCGCGCTAATTTTGCATAATGAAGCAAATCTTTAGATAGTGGAACATTTAGGACCCCCCCCATAAAAATGTATGGCATCATAAACAGTCCTCAGTCCAACTAAGAACTCGTCTTTCAGATTCTCAACAAGCATATCCTTGTTTATGCTAAATCCACTCTCTACAGCAGCATTGCCATGCGACAATGTAAGAATTATTGTTGCGACTTCAAAAAGTTCAGAAAATTCACTGGACTTTAAAATATTCGAATAAAAATCATCTAATCGCATATCTTCATTAAATGAATTAAGTTCCTCTTTGTAAACACTTTTCAGTTTCTCCAGAAAAGTTTCAAACTGGAGTTCTGCACGTTTTGAACAGGCTGGGGAAATTTGTGCATTCGAAAAAAGAAGTTGAAGCAAACTAACCATTCGCTTTTCACACAATACCGGATTGCTCTTTAAAAGATGGGGGTTTAAACAGGATGCAGCTTTCAACACAGCAAAATTCTTAGACATACGTTCAAATATTTCTTTTGTAGTGCTCTTCACACAAAAAAAAGCATTCTACCAAAAAGTCTCTTTTTTCTGCTTCAGTAGCATCACTAGAATTTAAGTAACCTGTAGTTACTATTCCAATGTCAGTATTTTTTCTCAGCCGTAAATTCTTCGGATCATCAAGATCAATCAAAAATAAACTGTCAAATGATTTTCCTTCTTCAATTATGCTACTTTTGACAATATTTTTCATCAACTGTCTAACAAGAATGAAGACATTTTCATACAAAAAAGGCACCATTGGTTCAGAGGTCTGAAATTTTTTTAAGAAATGGCTGAAGAATATTTGAAATATAGGAAAAGAAGCTAATTTTAGCTAGAATCAATTTGTCCCGACAAGCACCTTTGATATTGTCACAAGTCATAGATCCAGGCATTTCTTTTTTACTGAACTCTATTTTTTTACATTCTCAAAAACTTTAAGAGCACGTTCACAAACATTAATATTTTCTACCCAGCGGATAGAACAAAACTTTAATGGAAATTCGGAAGAACCTGTTACTTCCAGAAAATTAGCAGGTCTTGCTGGACTATCTTTAAATATTCCATACATTGCTCTTAAAGTAACATCTACTTTCCACCCAGTAGATTTGTGTCCATACTGCAACGCTCCGTGGATTATGTGTAGTTCACAAGTACCCAGGTTTAAAATTTTAGTCATTTTCGGACAAAAGTTCTTCGTTGACGTGTTTTAAAAATTTTAAATTGACGTTTGGTCCATCCATGCTGATTTGTAAAAGTATCTGTAAGTCTAAACTTAATATAACTTCCTTAAAATTCTTAAAGAGTTCTTGAGTTGTAGTACGTCTTAAAAATACAGAATTAAAATATCTTGTGGAGACTCTATTAGTTGAATCACACCAATATCTTACTATAAGGTCCATTTGACATTTTTGCGAAATGCGGTTCAAAGCTTCATCAAAGCATATGACAAATTTTTTGTTCCTTAAAGATTTCAGAAGAGATTGTTGAAAAAATGGTGCTAATCCGAAGCAGATAAGGTACGACATTTTTGTACGCCCCAACGTACACTTTTTGGCTATTTCACTATCAGCGAACATTAGTGAAAATAATTCCGCTACATCATTAAAAGCATTAAACAACGAATGCGATGCAACGAGTTTTAATGCCCATAACAGTTCAGCTTTAAATGATTGTTCATGAATTAAAAAGTTAGTTATTGGTTTATTTCCGGACACCAAATCTTTTGTTTTTGGACTTGAGGTATGCGCAACTTCCGTTTTTCCGTAATCCAAAATTGATGGCGTGTTTTCTGAATCGGCACTTCGTTTTGTATGATTTTTTGTCTTCTTATGACTGGTAAGCGCTTGTCTCCCTATATTACTTAGGCTTATTTTCTTATTGCACAGCAAGCAGTACACAGCAAATGGATTTTTCGGAACTTCGGTAACCCATGCTGCAAAGTCGGGATTAATATTTTTATCCATCCAATCCATATTGAAAACGGACTTAGAGCAGCTCAATTTTAAAAGAAATCACTAACCAACTTTTATTGATAAAAAATACCAACAAAATATTCAACATGTAAACACACATGCGAGCGACCAAACAACAGCTACACCATTACGCAACAGCAGATGGAATGTTGCCACTTCCGCGAGCGCGAGTCCATATGCGCATTCGACGAGACGGAGAGACTCGTACTTGCGCATGCGCAATTTGTGAGTTTCTAGAGGAGAAAGAGCTACCTCCTCGAAATTGGACTGGCCTATGCAGAAGATGAGGGGAGTGACGATGGTAGAAATGGATGAGCTTCCGCGCACGGTTCAACGGATGTTATTTCGTTTTTGGAGCGAGCTACAGCTGCGATCGTTTCTTCTTATGATTGTTAAAGAGATTGGAATTTTTCAGCGAAAAAACTAAAAACTTCCCTGCGTTTTCCCAGTTTTTAAGGAAAAACGCGAAATTCCCTGCATTTTCCCTGTCTTTGCATTTGACTTTTAAATTCCCTGTATTTTCCCGGTTTTCCAGGTTCTCCCGGTGCCGTGGCAACCCTGAATAATGCCTCCTTTGGCCTGCAAAACAGCTGCAATTGCCTTGGCATGCATGCTACACGTTCTTGGTAGATAGCTGGAAACAGGTTGTACCAAATGTCTAAGCAGCAGTAGTCCTTCTGGAAGTTTCAATTTCCAGAGTAACATGAAAACGGCCCCAAAGCATAACACCACCATCGCCAGACTGAGTATGATACAAATGTATATGTACAGGTAGAGATAAACTGCTTGCCTGGAAGATGACATACCCTGACATGATCAATGTGAAATCCAGATTCCATCACCCAGGTCAGTTCAATTGAGAAATGAGGGGGTGGTCATAATGTTTTGACTCATCAGTACAAAAAAATATCTTTGAAATCTATAACTTCAATGATATACATAAAAAGCCATAATTTATGTGTCATAAAAAAAGATACTACACTGAAAACACTTAGTCAAACTTCAAACAAATCATTAGAACTAGAAGAAAAAATTCTTAAACTAGAGTTAGTTTCATGTATATCAATACTTTTTGTGAACTTACTTAAAATGTATCAAATTTAATTTTTAAGGAATTCTCAAATGCATAACAATATTTACCAATGTTTATTTTAAACAAAAATAATCATTAATTACTATTAAGTATTTTTACTAATAAGCTACAAAAAGAGCAAGAAACTGTTTACAGTAATGGAAATTATATCTTTTTCTTTAAAGTTATCAATTACTAAAAATCTCAGTAAAACGTTTTTTGCATTATTACATGAAAAACAATGCAACAAATGGGATTTGTAAATATATAAATATCAAGGGAAAAAGGGCAACATAAAAAAAGTTTTTCAGTGAGAGTAAAAATTTTAAGGCTACCAGTAAATTTTAAAAATAATACAGTCACTTAAATATTGCTGTGGCCACAAAGATTGTGATAATGTCTTCAACTTGCAAATTTTTCATGCATTTCTTTGAAGTTTTAGTATTCCTTGTGAAGATGGCAACGGATATATATTACTTGATTGAGATTAATTTATTAATAAATATGAATTGATTAAAGGTAGATAAGTTTTTTCTTTAACAGAAATGAGCAGCAATAAAGGTAGGACAAAGACTGAGCTGACAATTTTGAAAATTATGATAAAATGAATATCTGAAGAAGACACAAAGTTGTGTCCTTACATCTAGTGGAAAGTGCTCAACCAGTAAAATTATTCAAACTTCAGGTTTAAATGTTTGTCAGAAAATAATGTATTACAATAACAAAGTCTGTAAGGTACATTTATACAGCAAAATTGACTTAGCTTCAGTTGCTAAAGAGAGCAGTTGAACCAACAACGAAATGGATAAAGATAATTTTTCTGACTAAGAAAATAGAATTTTGGTTAGATCAATGTATTATTGGCATGTTTAAAGAAAAGAAATATTCTCCAAGTGCCAATTATAGTTGAGGCTCTGTGACGAAGGTCTTTTGCTTACAATGGTGGGGTTTTAATTGTGTTCATTAAAATGAAATGAATTCAGAATTTTATTAAATTTAAAATTACTTATTACACATTTATATATTATACAAATTCGTTTAATTTAAGTTTTGTAGAAATAGTTTTTGTCATAGATTCTAGTTCAAAAATTTTATCTGATACTTCTTTTCATAGGGTTTTACTTTGTTCCTATAAACAGATGCGTTACCAGTAGAACTGTTCTTGAATTCTGACGATTTTGAAGGTTAGCGTGGATCTTCTACTTAGGTACCTTATAATTCAACCCCCCAAAAAGCACTATCTCTTCCATGTGCAGTATCCCCTTGTCCACACTCTATTCTTTTCCTTTAGAATGCTTCACTATCCTCATGAGTATCATTCTAGGCAAAAGTTAGAATATATTAAAGAAAGAACCAACATGTTAATGAAAGGACATGCTTTATTCCCCTTGCCTGTAGCCCCCTCACACATCCCTAGTCTTTCTAAAATGCTCTACCCTCGATGCATGGTCTAATCCTGGATGATAAGAGAGCGACTATATGCTTTAAAAATTTTAACTGAAAAATCGTTCCTTTCAACTATAGTGATGCTAAAAAATTAAGGACTTATAAACACCTTGTACCAAAATTAATTACATTTAAGGGCCCTTATTTTCCAAAATAAAAATTAAGCAGTTTTTAAGAACTTTTAGGGACCGTGGGAACCCTGTTTATGGATTACTAAGTTCTCACAAATCAATAACATGGTTCTCTCTGACAGTTATTACAAAATGAAGATTGGTCATACTGAGAATAAACCTTCTTTCTGAGAACAAAATCGTTTTTTCTCTGAATCAACTGTTACTGTTCAGTTCTCAAAAAGAACTGCATCTACTCCCGATACTAAGTTCAATTAAGTTCTTGATTTAACTTTTGTGTTTGATGTTTTGTTTTTGTATTTTGTATATTTCATCTCTTTCTGTATTTGTATTTTTATTTTCCTTTGATCCCTGTACAGCGTTAGGATAATGTCTGTATCGCCTGCTGCTTTGGAAATAAAAATTTAAAACTGTTATGAACCTAAGCCATTTTCCCCCATGGTCTTCAATTGTGCTTGCTACAGCTATAGATTACCTGTCTCAAAGACTGATAACGAAATTAATCAGGCCAACTTTTTCATTTTAAATGTTATAAGTTGATACTTTTGCTCTGTCAGCCACTACAAATATCCAATATACAAAACCAATAAAAATTATACAGCATATAAGATTATAAAATGATCATACCCTATTTTTCTTTGCTGTTTCTTGAGCAGACAAATATTCACTTATAAGTTTGTAGAACTTTTTCTCAGGTCTTCTATCAACAAGAGCATATCCTTTTTCTACCAATTTTTTCCCAATGTCTTCTTTCTCATCAGTAGTTAAAAGAGTAACATGGGACAAGGAACCATTTTTATATTCAATATTTAACCTTAGGCTACTATGCTGAACAGTTTCGTCGAAAAATGCAGCTCTAGCATCACTTGCACTTTCAACCTAAAAGGCACATTTATTAAAAATCTTACAAAAAAAAGCTTGATCATCACTTTTAGAATACAAAAAATATTTTGCAATTTTTATTAAAAAAAGTTGTTTAGCTTAAAATATATACAAAAACATTCACTGCTACAATAGAACTGCAATTTAATGCGGATTGTGGAATTGGTCGAAATGCGTTAAAAAGGGTATTGGTATATCAGAGGCATGAAAATTCACACGTAAACTAAAAATTCAATTAAAGTGTAAATATTAAATTAAACTTTTTTAAAACTTATATACAAACTTAATTTTATTAAAATTAATAAAGAAAAGGTTATTCTTTTAGTGATGTCACCGGAATAGAATTAGATCCATTCGCATTATTAAATAATACACTTGATTTGATGATGATGTAGCGATCCCAATTTATTTCTATAGATGAATAATATGATCTTAATTATTCGAATTGCACGGCTGCTGCTTTTTTAAATTTAACGTAAGGTAGCCAATATTATCTTCAACAAGGACCTTAAAGTCAGGATTCGGTCATTACTTTTTTGTATTCATTAAAGAAATCAAAGATATATTTTAAGAGAACCCATATTTTTACAACTATTATACCATATTTATACTTATCATTAGTTTTATTTCATTATTTTTTCTAATTTCAGATTGCAATTTAACTAATTTTATATCATTTTTAAACAGCTCTTCCAACTTCTCTCTTCGTCAATTTGTACATTTATAGATAGTAAAATATTTCAGTTTTAATTCCTTAAATGTTCTAAAACTGTTCTATAATAAATATCAATAGTTTCGGAAAATATAACCAGATACAAAAATTCAAAGATTTGAAGCCCGGGATTTATGAACTGATATCAAGTGGGCTAGAACTCTTGAGCGAGATTTGAATCAAGATCGAAATGATAAAATTAGAGTATTTTTTTCCGTAAAAAATTCATATAGCTTATAAAAATTATAATTTGTAACAGTAGTATATGAATGCAGATTTGTGCGCTAGAATTTGAGCCAGGATCAGCATTTATATATTATTTCTACTTTTGTGGTTATAATTTACTACTGTTCTTTTCAGAAAAAAACTTTATTTGAACATTCAACTCCAGTACATTGATCATTGCGCATTAAGCTTTTGTGCATTTAAAAATGTATTTTTCTTGTCAAGCAAATACATTTCCAATATTGTCATATTCAGCAAAAATAATTTTAGTCATCCACTCCTTTTTACATAGCCAGTCGCTTTTAAAAAGATGTTATTAGCAATGAAAAAACTCATTCACAGGTGACATAAATCATAACTCTACTATAAAATAACAGTTAATGTTCAGTTTTGTATGCAAGCAGTGCCCTCTGTGTAAGCAACGAGAACTAGTGAGTGTATTAACAACCTCAAAAGAGGCAAGTGTGTGAATTCAATGTGTGAAGCAAATAAAATAACAGTCCACTGCGTCAATATGTGTTTTGAGTCCTGTGCTTTTAAGAGAAATGACAGTTAATTTTAATCAAAATATAATTTAAAAATTTTTTTAAATCACGATAGAAGATCTATATAACATGATTCTATAAACAGCAATTCTCTATAAACCATACTGGTTTAGTGGATGTAAAAGAAATGAAAATTATAGTTTAAAAAAGTTAGTATTTAAGTAAGAACTATTAACTTTTTACATTATTTGCTGAGAGGTTAATTTCAACAGCTAAGCAAACCAAAATTGAATTTTTTTTCTTTTTGTGATATTAGTTCTAATGCTCTGAAAAATTCCATTTTTTCCCTTATAAATTAAATTCAAAATTTTAAACATACTCAAAATTCTATATAACGCAAAGCCTAGTACTTCAAATTTGGTGTTATAAAGATCTTTAACTGTAATAGTATTTACATGAAATTTTATTCTACTCATTAACTTTAAGCCTTATAAAATAAATATTACAATAAATAGGCATAAATAAAATTATTTCCTACATTTAGCTCTATGTATCTGCTCAAACTAAAACTCCTTTGTTTTAAACCATAGGCATAGACGAGAGTTTTTTTTTTTCAAATCAACCTTATATTTTTTAAAGACTTTATTTACCTAATTATTCCTAGCACATACAAAGTGTTACATTATAACCATGTCTAATAGATATTTTTAGACACCTTTAAAAATCTATGGCTGAATCATTGTTGTCAAAAAGATGGATTAAATTAGTGGAAAATCAGTGTTTAAGGTAACAAGGTTGGATATACAAGAATTTATAAGGAACTATCTTTAAATTTCATCGTCCAACAAACTGGTTATACATTTATATAATCCTTATTTTGGTCTACTTAGTGATTGATCAGAAGAAAAAAATTTTAAAAATTTTTTTATCCTTCTTATGTAAATAATGATTTACAACTTCCAACGTGTGTAGTAGCTTACTTCCTATTTTCTGATAATAAAGTTTTAAATATACAATACAGAAGTCTATAAAGAACACAAAGTAAAAACTAATTACATTAAAAATTGAATTTTTTCCTTATGTATTAATTAAACAAAATATTTGTTCCTTGAAACTTATTCAAACATAAATGAGTTATTTATTTGAAAAAAATTTTAATGTGAAAGATTCCTCTTTCATAATAAAATAGAAAGACTAATTACACAGGCCTGCGATGAAAAAAATACAAGAGGTCTGATAGCTGAACTTTATGTATTTTTTGGTGCTAAAATGGAAAACAATAATGAAAATTTTCCATCACGTCACATTTTTCTAAAAATTCAATTTTGCTGGAATTTTTATGAACATTTACCATATTTTTTTCTTTTGTTTCTGAATTACTTCTCTTCTTGCCTGACCAACATTCTACTTTGGTTAAATCTACAAAAGAACACCTTTGACACCTTTCGGTCACCATATTTCTCGACCAATAGCGTCATGAAAATTCTTATCTTGGTTCGCTGACCTCTAATGAACACTAGCAAGGGTAATCGGGCGTCATTTTTTGGAAGTATTTTTAACGTTCTTCTCTGTATGTTTCGTGAAACATAGCTTCGAGTTCGAGATATTGTGAAAATTTCCCAGATGACTTTTGTTACATATGCGGCGAACATAGTGTTGTTAAAATTCGCACGAGGAGCATTACAGACTATGTAAGACATATTTATCTTGCGTATTTTTGGATGAGATTCTGAGATCAGGCCAAATCGTTGGCTCCTCATAAAGTCTGTGTACAGTGTCTAAAAGATATACGCTTATGGTTCCGAGGAAAGAAGACTCCCTTACGATTTGGAATTCCTATAACATGGAGGGAGCCTAAGAACCACTTGTTATTTTCGTTCCTGCAATGTTCGTGGGTATAACCAGAAAAATCAAAGTATCTTATCTTGATAACATTCCATCGACCAAACACCACGTTCCGCATGGAACTGATGTATTTGTGCCTCCAACTGAATTGCCAGTCATTTCTTCAGAGTCCTCAGACTCGGAGCATCCAGAAGTTCAAGGCTCATATATCAAATATAAGTCATCTGCAGCCGGTTTCCTCTTCCCTTCTCTCAGGTCAATCTTGTTTGAGTGAATTCCGTTCCAAATAGGATTTTAGTAAAAACATTTATATCGATTTTACAAAAAATCCTGACGTGATGGTGGAAAATGAAGGTCATTTTCAGAATCAGGGCATCAAATAACATATAAATTAACAATAACCTCTTGTATTTTTCAAAAACTTCAATTTCGCAGGCTTGTGTTATTTTTGAAGTATGACAGACAATTGAAAATAATAATAATAAACTGCTATTTTAATTGCTAAGTTATGAGTGTTATCTTTTCAAAATGTAGATTGTCACCTTATTGTCAGAGTTAAATTCTTACCATTTATACATTCAAGAAATATTTTTATGATTACATATTTAATTACATATTTAAAAATTAATAATCATATCTTGAAATAATCATTAACTGAATCGCACAAATTAAATAAGATTTTTCAAATAAATTTACATTTCAATAGTTTAAATTTTACTGAAATTCCTTGGAACATAAATTATTTTTCTTAACTTGCTGATTACAATACAATTATATAAAAAAAAATTGGTAAATCAGATAAAAACTTAGATCCTCAGCATATTTTTAAAACAGCTGTTTCATAAAATAAACAAGATAATATAATATCTATAAACTAAAAATGCATAAAAAGTACAAGTTTTAACATTTCAATGCCTAACAGTTTTTAGTTTTTTAGTCAAACAATAAATCTTGCTATTGTAATAATAATATGATTATTTTAAATATAGAATTAATTACATCTTTTGGAAGCTTCACAAATGCTAAAGCATACTCATGGGCACATGGTGGAAGAGATTTATATTTGGCAGGTAATGCAGCTAATTTTGCTGGAAGTAGGACTTCTTTCTATAAAAAAATTGAACAAAAATAATTTGAGCTATTGAAAATATTCAGCTAAACAGACAAGTTAGCAAATACATTAACACAGTGTTAGTCAAAAATATTACAGGCAATTAGCTTAAGACAACATACATAAGAAAGCTAGCTAACCAGTTTCTTTCTAGTCATGAGTTGGAGGGAAATAAAAAAACAACTTAGACCAAGAAACTTAGATTATTTTTGAAATGTACATACAACTGTGTTAATAATAATTTCCTCAATAGTAATTATTAGTATAGTTGGTGTTATGCAAAATGTTATACTTGATAAGTTTCAGTACTAACTGAGGAAGTCTTTCACACAAGCACCTTTAAGATCTGTTTATTTCTTTCATCAAATTGTTATCCAATTTGAACCAGTCAATGATTGATGAATGAACTTTGCACAAGTCAGCTGTTCAATCAACTCATTCAGCTAAGTTAGTGGTTCAGCACTAGTAACATTTATCAGACTAATAATGATGACTATAATAGTTAATTTAAAATAGAATTGCAGATGATTTACAAATAAAATATGAATACAAATGAATAAATAAGAGTGAGTCCGATGTTGCAGTCAACAGCTCTGCCATCTAGTACTGTGAGGTTACCACTAAAAGGTACATGAAGATAATGTCAACAGTATGATTTGGTGAAAACATAAGGTAGATCTATTATCTTTAAATGTTTGAATTAAGAGGATTGAATGAAGAAATGCTGGCAATCTACAAACTGTTACAATTTGGATTGAAAAATAATAACAAACGTTGCATTTTTAATAAAAAAACAGTATCTTTAATTTTGAAATAAATTTCAAAAAATGTTAATCATAATTAGACTTATTATTTTAGTCTATAAATGGAACTAACTACAACAAAATATTTATCTCAATTAGGTAAACAAAATTCAATTTTAATTGCTTGGAAAAGAACAAAATATAGATATTTCTGTTGTGAATTCATAACAATTGTTAAGCCTGAGCAGTCATACTCAACAGTTAAAATAAACAAATTAAATAAGTAGTTTTCCCAATTCAAAATAAGGCTGCATTTTTTAAAGGAAATACCATATTTTTAGGAAGAAAAACATCAATACTTACATTTCCAAAATCGATGAAAGAAACTAAAACACCATCTTTAGCATTTTTAAGAATTCGAGCACGATACCACTGATTATCGGCAGAATATTTTGCGGCACATATATCATTCTTGGTAGGCACATAGTTACCAGGATATGGAGGACTGCTTTCGAATTCTTCCCTTAATTCATTCATTAGTTCATCTAACTTTGGACCTTATAAATAGTTTAAAACAATCATTTAAAAATAATTTTATAAAATCAAATACTATTTGCATATAAATGTGCATTAACAAAATAATTTCAAAACACATTTATAAAAGAATACCTTAAAATAAAGTTTCCAATACTATTAGTATATTTTAATTTTTAGTACAATGCATTGCTTTTACTTTTTTTTCCGTCTAACACCAGAAAAGGAATAAATTATGTAAGTCTAATTCATATTAAATTTTTTCAAAATATTCACAAGAACCCTTGAATAAAATAATAAATTTTTAAAAAAAATACTAATAATCATGTACATATTCATTTCATTCATCATTTCTATATTTGGGGATTCTATATTTTGTAATAATGGTCCCTGAATGGTTTTGAACATTAAACCAATATTACTTTCTATATAGAATGCTTGTAAGGTGAAGATATAGTGAAATATTGGGGGTCTATATTTTCTAATATTTGTCATAGAATGGCTCTGAAAAATGGATCAATATTATTTTCTATGTAGGACCCTTTTAGACTTACGATGTTGGGCAAACATTGGGATGTCTAGATTTTTTAATATCAGTCCTATAACAGCTTTTAATAATGGACAACGATTCATTTCTATCTGGGTCCCTTAAAGGCTTATAATGTTGTTAAAAAAATATTGTTACTTGATAGAAATGAATCTTGTTCCAATATTGAAAGCCTTTCTAGAACAGATATTAAAAAATCTAGATATTGGTATCTAGGTACATGTTCTTATAGTTCTTATTATCTTATTGAGCCAATTTTGAGCTCAACTAGGAAAATTTTTTGCTTGAGTAAGCTTTTATCTTTTGTTTGAGAAACTTAGGAAGAAAAAATAAAAAAATGAGCCTAAATTTTCTTCTGTTCTCAGCTACAGTTTAATCATTCCAGACTGTGAGTTTGAAGAAACACACAGAACATTTAGTTTAAATAAGTATTTACACTCATTGTTATTAAAATTAGTCTATACTTTCTACATTAATAATAATAAATTTGAAAGAGTTCAGCTTCTTTCACTTTGCTCCTTTTATTTCAGACATTTTCTGACTTATTTTGAATTTCCTACATTAAGCTTAATTTAAATAAGATTCCCACTTTTTTCCTTTACAAATTAGTCAGGAAAATTCTAATTTTTTTTTTGTGACATTCACTTGTTAGCCCTTAGGATAATCAATTTATGTCTCACATGCACTTCAATCCTGATAATGCACCCAATATATTTAAAACTAAGTTATTTAAAAAGGCCTATTTCTGCCAATTTCCCCTAAAATCCATAAGGGTTTTAATCATCTTTTATCCTTTTCTACATATTTTTTTAAATTTCCATATCTTTAGTTCAGTGTTAATATGGCACACAGATTTAGAACTGGGGCAACTTTTGGACACGTTCAATTAATGAAGATTCCATCTTCTCCGATTTCGTAACAAAGATTTTTTTTTTCTGCAGTTATCTCTTGTTTTTTCAGCCCTTTCTAGGTGTTTAGTTTTTTTCAAATTCTGATATTTTTAAAGGTATATTATATGCAAAAATCATAATTTTTTGATGCGCTGGATTTGTGCTGATTCTATTGTATATCTGAGTGGTTTTTCAATATTTTTTTTCTTTTGCAGCTATCAATGACTTTTTTTCCAGTCATTTACACATGCACATGCTTTCTCAAGTTTTTATCATTTTAATATATGTCGTTGCAACATACAAATTTTGAATTCGATTTAACCCATTTTCCCGGGCTCAGATAGAAAAAATTATTCTATTGCAAATCCATGCCATTTTACAATTGTTTTTCAGCTATTCCACATGATTTTTCAAATTTCAATGTTATTACAACACAAATTTCGAATTTCTGTCATCTACTTTCAGTCGCTAAACTTGCGACCATTCCATCATAAATCCAGAACATTTTCTGATCGTTTTTGCACTGACTATTTTGTCAGTCATTTCTACATGTTTTTTTTTTTCTAATTCATGTTAATACAATATGCAAATATCCAATTTGAGTTATCACTTTTTGATGAGCCTGGTTTACAATGATTCCATCAAACATTCATGTCATTTTTTGACTGTTATTTATCATTATTTAACATTTACACATGATTTTTCAAATTTCTGTATCCTTAATATGTTATTAAGCGATGCAAATTTTGAATTTAAGTTACTACGGCTTGAAGTGCTTAAAAAGAGCAGCGTTTCATAAAAGAATGTTTCATGATTTTTAAATGGAGTGAATAGGAATTGCAATGTAAGATTTTCAAATTGCATGAAAAGGAATCGCAACTCGTAACTTTTAAATCAGTTGAGTTAAATACAAATATAAATTAATGATATTAAAATTGTGATATTAGCAGATTCCGGCGTGGTTTCTAATATTTATAATTACGAAAAATCAGCCTAACCAAAGAAATCAAACTAGAAGAAGAATCACAAGTATGTAAGTGTCTAGTTAAAGAGATTTAGCATAAGTTTAAAAATTTCGTTGGATTATAAGTTTTTGATTCGTGGAAGTTCGCAAACCAATGGTCTTGAGATACGTGGAATTCTGCGATATTCACGGAAAAATCCCATGCACTGCTCAGTTCTTAGATCCATCCTTGGTTGAAAGAAAATCGGCATAAGGAGTCGAAAGGCGCTAAAATACTAAAAAATCAGAATATGTTGACCTAAAACATAGGTCGCCAAAGTGGTCTATATAGATCCCCAGGGGTCAATTTAACAAAAGTGGGGATCGATCTGAGCCAGGGGGTCTAATGGAGGTCGATCCAAATCGGAAAGTTCGATTGGGGGTCGAAGAAAAAACAGTTCTTAATACGCAAATCACACATACATAATTAAGTATGTGTAGTGATTCATCCCAGTACATGTAATGAGGTGGCGCTGCAAGCGCATATACCTTGTAAGTAAGCCCAACTATAACTTCCACTCACAACAGCTCTTGTACTACTATCTCCATCAGAATGTCAGAACATCTACTTTAACGGTCCTTTTCGTTCTGGACTCCCAGCAGCAGTTGTTTCTCGTTATGTTGTGAATCACCAATAAATGTTTTGTTAAACGTTTGGCTCATGTCATCTATTAACGATAAATATATATTATCGCATTATTTACCTTCACCTTAATGGTGACTTCCTGACATTCTTTTTTCGTTTTGATGTGATTCTGCACTTTCCTTTTCTCGTTTCGTTCCGGACATTCTATTTTCGTTTAAAATGACTGAAACTGCTGCTGTAAAAATTCCAATTTTAATTCCTACGGATCCTGCTTTATGGTTCACTATGGTCGAATCTACGTTTCAACTAGCAACACCTAAAGCCATTACAGATTCCAAAACTAAGTAAAATTATTGTGTTGCTAATTTACCGCCAGAAACTGCCATGATGGTTCGGGATATAATAATTTTGCCTGACATATCTGATCCTTTTAAGAATTTAAAAGAAGAAATTATTCAATGTTGTGGGGAAACGAAATCGCAAGAAATTCGTCGATTGTTAGCTGGGGAACAACTCGGCGATCGTAAACCATCCGAACTCCTTCGCATAATGCAGCAAAGAGCTGAAAACCATAGCGTATCTGATACTCTCCTTCTAGAGTTATTTCTGCAACAACTACCCTCTAACGCACAATTTATTTTGGCATCAGTACAAGATCTCTCACCATTAAAAGCTGCTGAAATTGCCGATAAAGTTTTGGATATATCACTTCCACAAGTAAGTGCTGTTTCCTCTCAAAATTCTTTACATGCTGACTCTGAACTCTTGAAAGAAATAAAACATTTGAGAGAAGAAGTTGCTAAAATGACTCTGAGACATTCCAGAAGTGTTACTCGGACTCAATCTCCATATCGAAATAATTTTCGACAGAGAAGCCAAAGTTCTAACAGATTCTGTTGGTATCATAGGAAATTTAACTCGAAAGCTCATAAGTGTGTACCTCCCTGTAATTTTACAGTGTTAAACGACAACGGCAAGGAGTAACGGCGACATACGCCTCGCCATTCACCTCTCGTCGCATCTTTGTAAAAGATCAGAAAAGTAATTTATCCTTTCTAGTGGACACAGGAAGCGACTGTTCTTTGATACCAACATCGAAAATAGATAAAATGTATGCTCCAATTCAAACATTCATTGCAGCTAATGGAACTTCCATTAATGTTTACAAACGGAAATTATTATCCATTAATTTAGGCTTACGAAGACAATTTGTGTATCCTTTTTATGTATGCAATGTTTCAATCCCCATTATAGGTGCTGATTTTCTGCATTACTTTAATTTAAAACCGGATCTTAGAAAACGTAAGTTATTTGATATTGAATCTCATTTAAATACGCATTGTGTATTTCATAATTCTGATATTTATTCTATCAAATCAATTGTAAATGATGATATTTGTTCTGAAATTTTAAGAGAATTTCCTAACATCAGTAAATCGCCCCGATCAAATTATTAAACATTCTGTACAACATCATATCGATACTTTTGGCCAACCTGTATATGCTAAACCTCGACGTCTCGCTCCTGACAGGCTAAAAATTGCAAAAATGGAATTCCAGCATATGTTGGATTTGGGTCACATGCGCCCATCCAACAGCAATTATGCTTCTCCGCTACACATAGTTCCGAAAAAGAACAGCGATGACTGGCGTCCGGTTGGCGATTTCAGAGCACTTAATGCTTATACTGAAAAAGACAAATACCCGATTCCGAGCATTGTTGATTTTACTAGTCAGCTGCAAGAAACAACTATTTTATTTAGTAGTTTTATATCTCACAATTTTCTACTGATATTAGATACATGGAAGGCTCTGAAAATCAAGATGCTGATCTCGTATTGAGATTATCCAAATTTCCCCAACAATCGTCAATTATAAAGAATTTGCTTCTGCTCAATCAGAAGATAAAGAACTTCAAACACTTTTGCAATCAAATACCACTTCTCTAAAATTAGAAAAACATTATTTTCCTATTGAGGATATAAGTTTATATTGCGATATGTCTCTAAAACATTCCCGTCCTTTTGTTCCTCTGAGTTTACGAAAACAAGTTTTTGAAAATTTACATTTTTCACACCCTGGTATGTCAGCCTCAATTAATTTAATTTCAAAAAGATTCGTATGGCCCGGCATGCATAACGATATTAAATCTATGGTTCGTAGTTGTGATAATTGCCAAAGAGCAAAAATAATAACACACACCAAATCTCCTACAGGTACATTTACCCTACCGGATGCTCGCTTTGCTCACATCCACTTAGACTTCATTGAACCACTTTCCCCATCTGATGGAAATCAGTATTGCTTAACAGTTATTGATCGATTTTCAAGATGGCCTGAAGTCATTCCTACATCTGATATGACTGCAGAAACAACTGCTCGTGCCTTATTGCACGGTTGGATTTCCAGATTTGGATGCCCAGTCACTATCACTACCGACCAGGGACGCAATTTCGAATCTACTCTATTTCGAGAACTTACAAATGCTAAAGGTTGCAACCGAATTCGAACTTCAGCTTACCATCCTCAATCAAACGGAATTTTGGAACGCTACCATAGGCATTTAAAAGATGCTCTTAAAGCAGATAACCAAACTAAATGGACACTTCCAATCGTACTTTTAGGTTTGCGCTCAGCTCTCAAGAATGGCATTAATGCAACACCTGCACAATTAGTATATGATACAACCTTCCGATCTTATTACTGATAAGAAACAACTTAATCAAACTGTTGATCCTAATTATGTTTCTAATTTAGTTCAAACAATGCAGGCACTAAATCCCACTGCCACTTCTTCGCATGGCATTCCTAGCATTTTTGTTACTCCTTCATTATCAACCTGCACTCATGTATTTTTAAGATCAGACAAAGTTAACCGTCCTCTAACACCACCATATACAGGTCCTCACCTTGTCATTAACAGAGATTCAAAAACTTGTATTATTGAGGTCAATGGTAAAAACACAACAGTTTTGATAGATCGCATCAAGCCTGCCTATCGATTGTCAGACACTATTGATGTCAATAACAATATAAATATAACAATATATATTCCAGAACCTAAAATATCTGATCCATTATCTTTATCTACGACACCTGTCAATAAGCCACAAAAAACTAGCTCTGGAGGTACTGTCCATTTTCCTAAACAGTAAGTAAAATAGTATGTCAAATGATTTTGTTTTGCATATAGTCTTTTGAATTATGTAAAGAAATAAATGTACTTTTATAACAATTTTGTTTTTCAATTCTGTCTTTGTATATTACTTCAAAATTGTATTTTGCATAGTATCAAACATTGTATTAGCATTTTTAATATTGCATTATTTTTTTTTATATTTTTATAATTGCATTTCGTATTGTATTTTCAATATGTATCCTGCATTTTCATCTTCTTGAACTCTCGTATTGTGTCGTTCACCTTGTTCACTGGGGGGATACTCTGTAGTGATTCATCCCAGTACATGTAATGAGGTGGCGCTGCAAGCGCATATACCTTGTAAGTAAGCCCAACTATAACTTCCACTCACAACAGCTGTTGTTCTGACATTCTGATGGAGATAGTAGTACATCTACTTTAACGGTCCTTTTCGTTCTGGACTCCCAGCAGCAGTTGTTTCTCGTTATGTTGTGAATCACCAATAAATGTATTGTTAAACGTTTGGATCATGTCATCTATTAACGATAAATATATATTATCGAACACGCATTATTTACCTTCACCTTATATGTAAAATTTGTGAATTTTTTATAATTGACTTAATATCAGTTTCTTTATAGAACATAAATTAATAAACATATATTTATTCGGGTGAAGCAAGTATTTACGTACCAGCGTGCAGTGGCACGAACTCTGCACTTCTTGTTTATAAATCATATGCATATGTGCGCTTGCCCAAATGTCACGTGCGACGAGCATTGACGTTACAAAGGCAAATATCATACGCAGTTTCAGCTATCTTTGCAAACTGTGAACAGTGTTAAATATTTGCAGTGTCATTATTAAAACTTTTATAGTTTTGGATAATTAGTTAATTTTTTGATAAAACCATTTGTTTAGTTTAGATATCAATTTTAATCATCAATGCATGTAAAAAAAAAAGAAGGTAAGCATTAATAATATGAATTAGTACAGCCCACGACAAAACTATAGCACACTTTGTATTTTTTTTAATGAAAATTACCAAATTTTTGAAAATATTATTTTAATCAGATGTGTGTCTTTAATTGTTCTTAAGAATAACAATTTTGTATGAAATAAGTTTAATTTAATTTCCAGTTAGTAGTAAACAGCAATACAACAACATTATTGCTGTTTACTACTAACTGGAAATTAAATTAAACTACACACATCAAATTAAATTAAACTACACACATCAAATTAAATTAAACTACACACATCAAATTAAAATAATAATATCTTCAAAAATTGCGCGATTTTTGTAAAAAAATACAAAGTATGCTATAGTTTTGTCATTGTTTAGTCTGTATACTATATTAAATTATTTCTTATTTATTTATAGAACCCTAATTGAAAAATGGCAGCTTCAGTTTCTAAAAAAAAAGTCGGTATTGTTCATTGGATTATTTGAAATTTGAATTTTTTGTTCCCAGACAAATGAAACGATTCCTATGCATCTTCTATGCGAAAAAACTTTTGGAAATGACTACAAGAAACCGTCAAAAATGGAAGATCTTGATAGGGTTCACTCAGATAAAAAAAATGAAGAACTTGAATTTTTCAAAAAACTTAAAGAAAAATTCTTAAGTCGACCAACTATAAGAAGTTTTATGAAGCAGTCTACTGAAGTTGAATCTGAAGGGTGATTAGTAGTTTCGTACAAGATTTTGCTTAGTATAGCAAAGGGGGAGGGAAATCACACACAATTGCTGAAGAAATAAGGTTATACCTGCAATTAAAGACATCATTGAGGGTGTATTATAATTAAAAAAGACTCCGTTAATGTTTTAAAGTCATTGCCATTAAGTGCAAATTCTGTAAAATGGCTTATCGACAAAATGGCTGAAGAAATAGAAAATACGGTAGTTTCAGAGCCAAAAAATTGCAAGTTCTCTATTCAACTTGATGAATCTGTCTTTGGCGTTTCCGCCATTCTTTTGATGTACGTTAGATATTTCAGTAAAATGAATGGACAAGTCATTGATGAATTTTTATTTGCTAAATATCTTGAAACTGATGGAAAAGGAGAGACAATTTTTAGATGTTTACAGGAATATTTAAATAAATATGATATTCTGCTTGAAAATATAATAGCAGTAGCCACAGATGGGGCACTTGCTATGGTAGGGCGTTACAGGGGTTTTGCTACATTTCTCAAAGAAAAAGTGCCCGGTATACATACTATTTATTGTGTTGTGTGCATAGAAACAACTTAGTAGCAAAATATCTGAGTCCAGAGTTACATAAAGCTTTACAGTTTAGTATTAAGTGCATCAATCAAATTAAAGCCCAACCTCTTAAATCAAGATTATTTTCCAAACTTTGTGAGGAAAACGGCGAGTTATTTAATCAATTACTTCTGCACACCGAAGTTAGATGGTTGTCTAGAGGTGTATGCTTGCAAAGGCTCGTCAAGTTATTTGACTCTGCAACCGAATTTCTCAGCGAAATAAACCCTGTTCTGAGCGATGAACTCCCAAATAATAAGAACCATATTTTTTAGTTAGCGGACTTATTTGGAAAAATTAAATGATGTCCAAACAAAGCTACAAGGAAAAGATGTAACAATTATCAAAGCTCGAACAATACTGTTAGATTTCCAAGTAAAATTAAATTTATTTAGATCTTCATGGCTACGTAAGGATTATCAGTATTTTTCAAATCTACGACAAAAGAAATAAAAGAAGAAGACTTGGAAATATATACAGGTCATCTTCAAAAATTGAGCAACCATTTTAAACTGCGCTTTGCTGATTTGGAAAACATTGGAATCCCTGATTGGATTATTGTGCCATTTTCTGCTCTAATTGAAAACGTGGACATCAACCTGCAAGATGAGCTTGCTGATTTATTATCTGATCTTGAAGCAAAGACGATTTTTAAAAATTTAACAATAAGCAAATTTTGGACAAATATAAATATAATGCAAAAATATGTGAAACTTTATGAAATAGCCATAGGGGTTAGTCATAGGGGAAGGGGTTTCTCTAATAATTGGACTCCTTAAAAATGTACGTTTTTGGAAAAATGGTCAGAAATTTTAAAAATTACGAGAAAAAAGCAGATTTCTGCTTTTTCACAGAAGTCTTTCATATCTGAAAAATGTAAAAATCCATCAGGAGTCCAAAGGGAAATTCATATGCAATGTAGGGTTGAATGATAAGTTATCAAATTGAGATAAATACTATTTTGGAAGACATTTCTGAAAGCATAAAATTGCAATTAGATTCAAAATATTTATTTCACACTCAAAAAGAGAAGAAGAAAACTACTATAAACTTTACAATCTTTAGATCATGTTTTAAAAAGACACAACGTTTACAATACAATGTTTTAAAAAGGAAAATATAACACTGAGTAAGAAAATAAACTTAATATCAAAATAGATGACAAAGCATACTTGTATCTTACCTTCATCAAAATGTTGAGCATAAAATGATAAATCTGCAGCATCATCTTTTGTTTCTGTTATAGTCACAAGTTTGAAATTAACAATTCTATCTGATTTGTCTTCTTTCAACTCAGGTTGAACAGGTTCAAATTTTTCCCAACGCTAAAAATATACAAAATACTGTATATATTTCGAAGAATTTACATTTAGAAACCATCACTAATAAACCATAAAACCTTATTAAATATATACTCAATATTCGTATTATTATTTATCTTAAACGTTTGAAGCGGCAATGAGTTTAATGTTACTTGCTATTCTCTAGGAAAGTAAATATGAAAGAAATTTAATACTACGCATGTGTAAGTCAAGTTCCTTTAAGTTAACATTTAAATATTAATTGCCCCATTTCAATATTTCTTCATAGTCACCAAAATATTTTTTAAAAAAGAATTTTAATTTTCTCAACTTCTACTAAAAACAGTTGAAACTTTAGATTTTACAATAGAAAAATATGTAGAGTTATATGGAAAAAAAAAAATTTTAAGACTTATAATTCAAATTTTTTTGACCACAATAAAATTGAATAAAAAATAATAAATAATTATTAAAATATATTGTTTGCATGAAATTACCTTAGAATAAATGGGTTTCATGAGTGGATGCAATTTTTTTTTTTAATTGCTGAATTAGATTTAAAGATATGACTAAAAACGCAAAAAGGTGAAATTAACATTAAGGGAACCAAACTTTCATTCGCTTCTCCTGCCTATACTATTAGAGCAACAACTTCCAGATTGCAGCTACCCCTTATAGTTTGAAAGTCATGAATTCAAATATGTAAATATATATATATATATATTCATATAAAGTAAATTTTTGCAACTTCATTAGCATATTTAACCCTTTAGCGCCTAGCGGGACACATACGCCCCAAGAAAATTTCAAAAAAATCTTTTGGGACAGAAACGCTTCTCTGTCTAATGGGAGATTTTCTCACCAGTCCTGCCAATATTTTTGAAGGTATTTTCATTCACAGAACATAGATGGCGCTACCGTACATAATGCTGCCTTACTCATAGTTTATGCTACCAAAATTGTTCTGTTGTAAAAAAAAAAAAAACTCGTCATGAAAGGGTTAAGGTCCCTTCCGGAAACCATTAAGATTGACACTTAGTACGAGAAAATCCTATCATTAGAACAAAAGTTATTCAGAGCGATTTTTTGTTATTTTTTTGTGCGCTGTATTATGTAACAATGTGCTCATTCAACTCCTAATAACTCATTTTTGCATCCGTTTAATTTATTTAGAAAAAATTTAACTTTTTTAAAAGAAGTATATTTTTTTTATAAAATATTAATAAGTGATACAAGTTAAAAATTGAAATCTTGGCCAATATTAAAAAAGTTAGACATTGTGTTACAATAACAAATTTCATCTTCATCTCATCTTGGCAGGGCTCAATGGTCAATAAGAAGAATGTTTAGATATGTGGGGTAAAAAAAGGTGCAGGTTACCTTTTGTCTGTAGAATGTACGGACATAATAAGATGCGGACATAATGTAGAATTTACGGACATAAGTGAAACAAACCAAACAAAATAGATATTTTACTAAAGCACTATCAAGATGAGACTTATCTGAGAGCACAAAATAATTATACCCTAAGATGCAATCTAGGGAAATAAGCAGAGCAGTCAAAAATCAGACGTAAAATTTTTTTTGTTGCATTAAAAGCTGATAAATAAACATTTTGCTCTTAAAATTTTTTTTAATTCCTTATGAATCCAGAAATGGTCATAACTGACAATGACATTTTATGTTAGCTATGCCTAATAGAAATATTGAAATTGAAAACAGTCAAATGCTGAAAACAGGTATGTCATACAATATTCAAAGATATACCCTCAATTTCTTCTTCTGTGCATCTTCCTGTGCAGCTTGCAAAGCTCTATAGTAAGGACTTCTTGAGGCAGTCGCAAAAACTTCAGCGAATCCTTCTTGAACAAGAGCTTCAGACAAATTAACATTATCTATCCACAACCATCCAATAAAATTTCCTCCTTTGTCCATTGATTCTGCTTCAATTTGGACCTAAAAAGCAAGACGAAAATCATTTAAACTTTATAAATTGGTAAAGAGCAACAAAAAAAATTGGTTTTTTGATTTGAATAAAAATATAGCAAATAAAAGTTGTAACAAAAATATTTGTCAATAGTAAAGAAATGATATTTATTGATTTCATATGAAGGAAAAATATAAATAAAAAATTCTCTTGAAGAAAAAAAAGTCATATATATATATACAAATACAAGAG